TCTCTCTATTCTTTGGCATCTTTATGATATTTTAACATGCAAGTGCATATCAGTACTTTGAATGCTTGGAAATTGTACTGCCTCAACATTTGTAGATATATATACTCACACTGTATGTGCATTGCATTACCAGTCTAGCTTCTGATGGCATGTGCTGCATTATAGGCTAGTTCTTATGATGAAAGACTTTCTCTTCACATGGGCAGAATCATTTTATCTTTCTTTTTAAAAATTCCTCTTGGGAGTTGGGATGGTGAAAGAGAGAAAGAAGGTGTTTGTTTCCAGCTGATGCACAGAAAGATGGGACAGTTTGAATCAGCAGGCAGGAGAACCCAAGGAAATGAATGAGATAATCAATTTGGGGCAGCTCCAGAGAAAACCCATTCTGCTTTAACCAATTAACAGACTTTCATTCATTCCCCCCTCCTTCTCTAATCACCTCCTAGTAGTTGTGAATGAGGTGCACTGTGATCAGGTATTTAGTAGTTGATATATTATGCAAGAAATACATCTCTTAGCAGGAAAACAGCACAGATATACATTTTTCTCTTTGAATGATGAAATCCAGTAAGGTCTGAAGTTAGGTTTTCAGGAATATTGTGTTACTGTCAGGGTATAGTAACACAGAATCTGTTGAAACAAAATGTACTTAGCATGTATCCATGACTAATTAACATGGAAACACAGCCTTTGCAAAATTTACAGTGTGGCCATCTTGGCCACACCCAAAGCTAAATCAATCAAAAAAGTCTCATGCTCATGGATTGGAAGAATCAATGTCATTAAAATGGCCATACTGCCCAAAGCAATTTACAGATTCAATACTATTCCTATCAAACTAGCAATGTCATTCTTCACAGAATTAGAAAAAAACTGCTTTAAAATTCATGTGGAATCAAAAAAGAGCCTGAATAGCCTAAGTAATCCTAAGCAAAAAGAACAAAGCCAGAGGCATCACACTATCCAACTTCCAACTAAACTATAAGGCTACAGTAACCAAAACAGCATGGTACTGGCACAAAAACAGACACATAGACCAATGGAACAGGATAGAAAACTCAGAAATAAAGCTGCACATCTACAACCATCTGATCTTCAACAAGGCTGACAAAAATGAACAATGGAGAAAGGACTCCCCATTCAATAAATCCTGCTGGGCTAACTGGCTAGCCGTATGTAGAAGAAAAAAACTAGAACCCTACCTTTTATCATATACCAAAATTAACTAAAAATTGATTAAATAATTAAATGTAAGGCCTCAAACTAAAAAAACTCTAGAAGAAAACTTAGAAAATATCCTTTTCAACATTGGTCTTGGCAAAGAATTTATGACCAAGCCCCCAAAAGCAATTGCAACAAAAACAAAAATTGACAAGTGGGACTTCATTAAACTAAAGCGCATTTGCACAGCAAAAGAAACTATCAACATACTAAACAGATAACCTACAGAATGGGAGAAAATATTCACAAACTAGGCATCTGACGAAAGTCTAATATCCAGAATCTATAGGGAATTTAAACAATTCAAAAAGCAAAAAACAAATAACCCCATTAAAAAGTAGGCAAAGGACATGAACAGACACTTCTCAAAAGAAGACATATATGAGGTCAATATATGAAAAAATACTCAGCATCAGTAATACTCAGGGAAATGCAAATCAAAACTACAATGAAATGCCATCTCACACGAGTCAGAATGGCTACTAAAAAATCAGAAAATAACAGATGTTGATGAAGTTGCAGAGAAAAAGAAATTATTATATACTATTAGTAGGAATGTAAATTAGTTCAGTCACTGTGAAAAGCAGTTTGGAGATTTCTCAAAGAACTTAAAACACAGCTACCATTCAAACCAGCAATCCCATATCATTATATCAAAAAGATACATGCACTCGCATGTTCATCACTAGCTATTCATAACAGCAAAAACATGGAATCAATCGAGGTGGCCATCAATGGTGGATTGGATAAAGGAAATATGGTACATATATGCCATGGAATACTATGCAACCAGGAAAAAGAATGAACTCATGTCCTTTGCAGCAACTTGGATGGAATTGGAGGCCATAATCCTAAGTGAATTAATGTAGGAACAGAAAGCCAAATACTGCATGTTCTCACTTATAAGGGAGAGGTAAACACTGAGCATATACGGGTATAAACATGGGAATAATAGACACTGTGGAACTAGAGGGCAGGTGGGTGTGGGTTGAAAAACTACATATTGGGTACTCTGCTTACTACCTGGGTCCAATATACCTATGTAACAATCCTACACATGTATCCTTTATATCTAAAATAAAAGCTAAATTTTTAAAAAATTATCCTGGGAATTGACTTCTCTTCCCTCTCTCTATGTATGGGTGTGTGTGCACATATGTACACTATGAACACAAGCATGTTTTGATATTGGTCTGATTGGTTAAACAAAGTCAACCAAAGCAATACAAATTGTACATATTAAGATTACACTACAAACACATTTGGTGCTAGTTAATGTAGAGCTTACAACAAATCCTAAAACAGTGCATTTCCTCAAGATTGTTACCTATTAGGGTTACAAAAATGAGTAAGATCCATTTTTATTCATTCATTAGGATCCAGCAGAAACCTGCTAAAGGCTACCTGGTAGATTTTTCAAGAAGAGTCAGGCTTTAGGTATTTTGTGCAGTTACTGATTTGTATGCATTACTGATTTTATTCATATTTTGGATTCCTGTAAGAGTATTACTAACTTAGGTTTTTGGTGGTTGTTGTTGTAATAATTAAGTGAAGTAACATATTTTACACAGTAAAAAGCAGTATTAATAGAGGTTAAAAATCAGATGCTTAAGAATCAAATAAGCTGGATTACCTTGAGTTATTTAAACTCTAATACTGTTTCTTCGTCTATCAAATAAAGATAGTAAAAGTACATAATTCAGAGGCTTAAACTCAGAGGATTAAATAAATTAATATATGTTAAGTATCTAGTATACTGTAAGCAATCAATAAATGTTAAAATGCTATTACATGTTTGATAATGTTAGTCAGGCAACAAATATGGAAACACAATGGCTCAAGACTACTCTGAAAAACTGTGGCTAAACCATAGAGTTTGAGAAGGAAACTGAGACAGATGAGGCTGGGCACAGGCCTAACTGTGAAGAGCCTTGCGGGTCATGTTAATTTTGATCTTAAAAGCAATGAGGAACTATTAAATTGTCTTACAGAGGAGAGGCACGTGATCAAATTTATTCTTTTGAAGATTTCTGGCCGGGGTGGAGAGGAGGGCTCAGAGGGAAGTAGAGAGAACTCTTGGCAAGCCTCTGTACCAGGAAATAAGTGTTGATTATACGAATTAGTGTAGGGACTGTGGGGTCAGGGACAAATGGATGGAATCAAGAGATAATTAGAAAATAGGAGAAGAGAAGGGAGAAAGCAAGAGAAAAGAATATGGGCAACTAGATGGATGATAATGCCATTCATTCACTGATAAGAGGAACCTAGAAAGAAACAGATTTCTGAGGAAATGATTGATATAGCTTCTGGCACAATGAACTTAAAGAGATCTTAGAGAAGTTAATTGAGCCAATAGACTGTGAAAGTTGGATGAAGCGACCTCTAAGGTTCCTTCTAGTTCTATCATTACAACCGTAGATTTACTGATCCACTGTCTGTTGCAGTGGCAATCACAAGGAATCTCTGAGCTCTGCCTCTCTGTGGTGAAGAAACCACACACAGACAGGCATAGTGGCTCATGCCTGCAGTCAATCCCAACACTTTGGGAGGCTGAGGCGGGCCAATTGCTTGAGCCCAGGAGATCAAAACCAGCCTGGGCAACATAGCAAAACCCTGTCTCTACAAAAAATACAAAAAAATTGGCTGGGCATGATGGTTTGTGCCTGTAGTCCCAACTACTTGGGCAGCAGAAGTGGAGGATCACTTAAGCCTGGGAGCTCGAGGCTGCAGTGAGCTGTGATCATGCCACTGCACTCCAGCCTGGGTGACAGATCAAGACCCTGTCTCCAAATAAATAAATATAAAAATTAAAACAGAATAAACCACACCCAAGAGACCACATGACCCCATATTTAAGTAAATATTCAATCATCCCACACCCTGGTATAGACTCAGTGCCATTGGCTGTATGAATAATACCACACAGAGTCTCACTTCTTTCCTATTTACTTGTGTTTGATTTGAAACCTGGATACACCCCACTACCACCCACATATATGTTCCATTTATGGTTTTGCCCTGACTCTGATGCCCAGGTTGGATCTCTGGACACTGACTCACTTACTTGGTTTTTCAATCTGTCCTTCCCTCTAATTTGAGGCAAAATTCTGGACTGTGACCTGGATTGCATGCTCTAGTGGTGCTTTCCTATATAACCACCCACATGCTATTACAATTTAGATACTGTGATGATGAATAGAATTGGAAAGCTTTAGCCCCTATAGGCTCAAAATCCCTTACCTTCTGTGATCTTTTTTGTACTGATACTTCCCAGAAGCCAGAAATTACCTTAGCCCCAAGCCCATGGTGAACAGAGTCAAGAATCAAAATACTGATAGATTCATCAAGGTTATGCTATTCCCAAGTTTCAAGAACATAATCATCAATAGTCAATAAATTGATCCATAGCACCACCCATCATTTAATAAAGTATCCTCAACTGTGGTGTACCATTTCAGAACAATTTCATCATTAGCCTTTAAACCTCGACAATAATAGGTCATTCCATATAAGCCATAAATCTGTTTTCTTATCTAAGAGAGGAGCAAGTTTGCCTCATAATAAGGTCAGACAGCAAATGCGCACAGTGGCTGTGGTGGCAGTCTGGAAATAAAGGTGGCTTGGGAATGAGGAAAAATATTTGGGACTTATCCACAGGCCTGGTCATTGCAAACTGGCAAGAAAATAGAAAGGCACCATTAAATTTGGGGTGAGTCTTGAATTAGGTTATGACACATCTGTGTTGCCAAACATGAATTTTGGGAAAAAGAGACACTCACCTGCTTACAGTTTCCTTTGCATAAGTCAGTTTCTAAGGAAAACAAAGACATAAAAATGACTGAGTTAACAACAGTTATTAAGGAGTAAATAAAACTTATTTCATAGAGACCACTACTGCCCTAACATGGTAGAATCCATGTTACTATTCTCTATGGTTAGACAAGTGATTAAAACAAGTACTAATGATACCAAGTTTGTTTTGCGACTATAGCAACACCCTGACATTCAGTCTGCTTATATGCACAAAAGTTCCTATGCTCTTTCTTAATGGGCACAAATAACAGACTTGATCTGCCAATCATTTTGTAAAGGTATCAAAGTTATAGATTTGCAGAGTTTTACATAAACCTGCCATGGACTTAGAATCAAAGAATTTTTTATCTGATGTATTTATAGTAATTCTCATCCTAGAACAATGTAAACGTGGATAAAATAATTGATAAATTTGTTTCTACAGAATTCAGACAAAAAAGACATATCATACCAATAATTGGATTATTCTCCAGGGGCATTCTAAAGCAAATTGCCTGCAAGTTTCCCCTAAATTAGGATTGTTATTTTGAGATCAATATGATAGAAGGAATAGTGACTTGGAATCAGGAGACCTAGTTTCAAGTTCCAGTTTCCTCTCCTTAGCTATATAGGAAAATCCCAAAATCTCTCTGGTGCCGGGCCTCAATTTCCTCATGGGTAACACAGAGAGACTATTACTCTAAGTATGTCTCATTGCATTTAGAAATGACTCACTGCTCTTCTTGCTCTACAGATTCTCCCAGAATAATCTCAGCCACTCTCATGGTTTCAATTATAGGCATACCTCTGATATATTACAGGTTTGGTTCCAGATCACATAAAAGCTCAATGAAGCAAATATCCCAGTAAAGCAAGTCACATATTTTTTTGTTTCCTAGTGCATATAAAAGTTATGTTTACATTATACTGTAGTCTATTAAAAGTGCAATAACATCACATCTAAAAGAGGTATATACCTTAATTTTAAAATACTTCATTGCTTAAAAATGCTAACAATACTCTGAGCCTTCAGCAAGTCATCATCTTTCTGCTTCTGGAGGGTCTTGCCTCCCAGTTGATGGCTGCTGACTAATCAGAATGATGGCTGCTGATGATTGAGGGAATGGTGGCAGCTTCATAAAAATAAGACAACAATGAATTTAGCTTCATTAATTGAATTTTTCTTTCACAAAAGATTTCCCTGTAATATATAATGCTATTGATAACATTTTATCTAAAACTTCTCTTAAAATTGGAGTCAATCCTCTCAAATCCTGTCACTTCTTTATCAACTGAGTTTATGTAATATTCTAAATCCTTTACTGTCATTTCGATAGTGTTCCCAGCATCTTTACCAGGAGTAGATTCCATTTGACGAAACAACTTTCTTTGTTCATTCATAAGAAGAAATTTCTTATTCATTCAAGTATTATTATGAGATTGTAGTAATTTAGTCTCATCTTCAGGCTGTACTTCTAAGTCTAGTTCTCTCGCTATTTCCACCACATCTGTGGTTACTTCCTCTAATGAAGTCTTAAGCCCCTCCAAGTCATCCATGAGAGTTGGAATCAACGTCTTCCAAACCCTTATTCATGTTGGTATTTTGGCCTCACCTATTGAGTCATGAATGTTGTGAGTGCCATCTAGATGGTAAATCCTTTCCAGAAGATTTTCAGTTCACTTTGCCTAAATCCATCAAAGAAATCACTATCTATGGCAGCTGCATGAAAAGTATTTCTAAAATCACAACACTTCAAAGTTGAAATTACTCCTTACTCCATGGGCTGCAGAATAAATATTGTATTGGCAGGCACAAAAACATTAATCTCCTTGTACATCCCCATCAGAGCTCTTGGGTGGCTACATGCATTGCCCATGAGCAGTAATACTTGAAAAAAAAAAATTCTGAGCAGTAGGTGTCAAAGATGGGCTTAAAAGATTCAGTAAACCATACTGTAAACAGATGTGGTGCCATCAGACTTTTTGTTCCATTTATAGAGCATAAGTGGAGTAGATTTAGCATACTTCTTAAGGGCCCTAGGATTTTTGGCACGGTAAATAAGCATTGCCTTCCAACTTAAGTCACTAACTGCATTATCCCATAACAAGAAATTCAGCCTGTCCTTCATTGAAGCCAGGTATTGACTTCTCTCCCACTATCGAAGTTCTAGGTGGCATCTTTGTCCAGTAGAAAGCTGCTTCATCTACATTAAAAATCTTTCATTCCATGTAGCCACCTTCATAAATTATCTTAGCTAGATCTAGACAACTTGCTACAGCTTCTGCATCAGTACTTGCTTATGTTATGAAGATAGCTTCTTTTCTTAACTACATAAACCAACCTCTGCTATCTTCCAACTATTCTTCTGAAGCTTCCTTGCCTCTCTCAGCCTTCACAGAATTGAAAAGAGTGAGGCCTTGCTCTGGATCTGGCTTTGGTTAAGGGAATGTTATGGTTGCTCTGATCTTTCACTCTGACCACTAACACTTTCTCCATATCAGCAAGAAGGCTGTTTTGCTTACTTATCACTCATTTCCTCACTGGAATAGCACTTTTAATTTATTTTTATTTATTTATTTATTTACTTTTACTTTAAGTTCCAGGATACAAGTGTAGAATGTGTAGGTTTGTTACATAGGTATACATGTGCCATGGTGGTTTGCTGCACCTATCAGCCCATCATCTACTTTTTAAGCCCCACATGCATTAGCTATTTGTCCTAATGATCTCCCTCCCCTTGGCCCCGATCCCCCAACTAGCCCTGGTTTATGTTGTTCCCCTTCCTTTGTCCATGTGTTCTCACTATTCAACTCTCACTTATCAATGAGAACATGTGGTGTTTTGTTTTCTGTTCCTGTGTTAGTTTGCTGAGGATGATGGCTTCCAGCTTCATCCATGTCCCTGCAAAGGATATGATCTCATTCCTTTTTTATGGCTGCATAGTATTCTACGGTATATATGTACCACATTTTCTTCATTCAGTCTATCATTGATGGGCATTTGGGTAGGTTCCACGTCTTTGTTATTGTAAATAGTGCTGCAATAAACATATATGTGCCTGTGTCTCTATAGTAGAATGATTTATATTCCTTTGGGTATATACCCAATAATGGGATTGCTGGGTCAAATGGTATTTCTGGTTCTAGACCCTTGAGGAATCACCACAATATAGTGTTCCACAATAGTTGAACTAATTTTCATTCCCACCAGCAGTGTAAAAGCATTTCTATTTCTCAACAGCCTCGCCAGAATCTATTGTTTCTTGACTTCTTAATAATCGCCATTCTGACTGGTGTGAGATGGTATGTCATTTTGGTTCTGATTTGCTTTTCTCAAACGACCAGTGATGATGAGCTTTTTTTCATATGTTTGTTGGCTGTATAAATGTCTTCTTTTCAGAAATGCTGTTATATCCTATGCCCACTTTTTGATGGGGGTTTTTTCTTGTAAACTTAAGTTCCTTGTAGATTCTAGATATTAGACCTTTGTCAAACGGGTAGATTGCAAAATTTTCTCCCATTCTGTAGGTTGCCTCTTCACTCTGATGAGAGTTTCTTTTGCTGTGCAGGAGTTTTTTAGTTTAATTAGATCCCATTTGTCAATTTTGACTTTTGTTGTTACTGCTTTTGGCATTTTCGTCAGGAAGTCTTTGCCCATGCCTATGTCCTGAATGGTATTGCCTAGGTTTTCTTCTAGGGTTTTTATGGTTTGGGGTTTTACATTTAAGTTTTTAATCTATCTTGAGTTAATTTTTGTATAAGGTATAAGGAAGGGGTCCAGTTTCAGTTTTCTGCATATGGCTAACCAGTTTTCCCAGCACCATTTATTAAACAGGGAATTCTTTTCCCAGCTTGTTTTTGTCAGGTTTGTCAAAGATGAGACGGTTGTAGATATGTGGTGTTATTTCTGAGGTCTCTGTTCTGTTCCATTGGTCTATATGTCTGTTTTGGCACCAGTACCATGCTGTTTTGGTTACTGTAGCCTTGCAGTCTAGTTTGAAGTCAGGTAGCATGATGCCTCCAGCTTTGCTGTTTTCGCTTAGGATTGTCTTAGCTATACAGGCCCTTTATAGTAGTTTTTTCTAATTCTGTGAAGAATGTCAATGGTAGTTTGATGGGAATACCATTGGGTCTATAAATTACTTTGGGCAATATGGCCATTTTCACAATATTGTATCTTCCTATTCATAAAGATGGAATGTTTTTTCATTTGTTTGTGTCCTCTCTTATTTCCTCGAGCAGTGAGAGGTTTGTAGTTCTCCCTGAAGAGATTCTTTGCATACCTTGTTAGCTGTATTCCTAGATATTTTATTCTTTTTGTAGCAATTGTCAATGGGAGTTCATTCATGATTTGGCTCTCCACTTGTCTATAATTGGTGTATAGGAATGCATGTGTATTTTGCACATTGATTTTGTATCCTGAGACTTTGCTGAAGTTGCTTATCAGCTTAAGGAGTTTTGAGGCTGAGACAATGGGGTTTTCTAGATATAGAACCATGTTGTCTGCAATCAGAGTCAATTTGACTTCCTCTCTTCCTACTTGAATACATTTCTTTCTCTTGCCTGATTGCCTTGGCCAGAAATTCCAATATTATGTTGAACAGGAGTAGTGAGAGAGGGCATCCTTGTCTTGTGCCGGTTTTCAAAGGGAATGTTTCCAGCTTTTGCCCATTCAGTATGATATTGGGTGTGGGTTTTTGTCATAAATAGCTCTTATTATTTTGAGATATGTTCCATCAATACCTAGTTTGTTGAGAGTTTTTAACATGAGAGGCTGTTGAATTTTGTCGAAGGCCTTTTCTGCATCTATTGAGATGACTGTGGTTCTGTTTATGTGATGGATTACGTTTATTGATTTGCATATGTTGGACGAGCCTTGCATCCCAGGGATGAAGCCAACTTGATTGTGCTATATAAGCTTTTTCATGTACTGCTGGATTGGGTTTGCCAGTATTTTATTGAGGATTTTTGCATCCATGTTCATCAGGCATATTGGCCTGAAGTTTTCTTTTTTTGTTG